AGGGCTGTAAGAAAACTGTCACTATTACGCTTGGAACAAAATCTCAAGCCCAGAAAATAAAAAAGCGAATCCGATTATCAAGGTATGTAACACGGTGGTTCCTAGCGAGGTTTGTGCACACAATCTCGGGTTGTTAATTGACGAGAACCTAAGGTTTGAGCAGCACGTACGTAACAAAATGGGTTTATGTTTCGAAACACTTAAAAAAGTTATATCAGCTTCGAGCAAGTCTGAGGAAATATATTAGGCTTTCATTTATTTATTTAATATAAATAACCATACAAAAATTACAGATTATATATACAAACCGCCGTATAAGAAATAGAGACAAACTTCATTTAAAATCTAAACTTTCTCCTGATAATTTAATACTTTCTGCTACTTATAAAAGATATAGGAATTTTTGCAATAAACTATTAAAAAACCTCAAAATACAATATGATAAAAATGTTTTACAAAAGGCCGGTAAAAACAGTAAACTTGTATGGAAGTTCATTAAAAATAATACCTTCAGTTCAAAAAATCTTGGACCCCCACTTGATCTACTGTCATTAGACAAAAGCCCAAACGAAGCAACTAATAAAGTAAATAATTATTTTATTAACGTTGGCAAAAAAAATAGCAGAGACAACTTTTAAATTAAGCAACACTCGTAATCCAATTTTTATGCCCACACCCTTTTCTAAGTTAAATTCTTTTGTATTGTTAAATACCGATATTGATGAGATTTTAAGTATAATATCTGGCTTAAAAGAAGATTGTGCAGTTGGATGGGACAATATACCTAATCGCATACTCAAAAGATTTAAACATTTACTGGCCGCCCCGTTAACACATATCTTTCAATTATGCCTAGCAAATGGTATTTTCCCGAAAGTGCTTAAAAAGCAGTGGTTTCTCCTATTTACAAAGCTGGTGATAAAAACTTAGTAACTATAGGCCGATTTCAGTCTTATCTGGCTTATCTAAATTTTTAGAAAAGATCATAAATACCAGATTAATAAAATACCCGGAAACTAACAACTTGCTGTCAGACAGACAATTTGGTTATAGGCCTAAGAGATCATGCAGTGATGCCTTGCACCAATCGACAGATTACGTCACAAGTAATCTAGACAATGGTATGCACTCAATTGGGATCTTTTTAGACCTTGCCAAAGCATTTGATACTATTTCTTGACCTATACTATTGCAAAAGCTTGAAACACTTGGCATAAGGGGAACTCAACTACATATTTTATCTGATTACCTCAGTAATCGCTTTCAATGTGTAAAAATCGGTGAGTATACAAGTACTGAATTACAAAACAGCTCTTATGGAATCCCACAGGGCAGTATCCTGGGGCCTACATTGTTCCTAATTTATATAAATGACTTATGCAATCTTCAACTTCAAAATGGTGTCATTATGTCGTATGCAGATGACACAGCCCTGTTATTCTCAGCTAAATCACGAGATGAGGTTTATAAATACGCTCAGCAAGGCTTTAACATAGTATCTAATTGGCTTCTTAATAATCTCCTACGTTTAAACGCTGATAAAACACAATATATGATATTTTTAATGAGAAATAATAACATACCTACTCACCTAAATATTTACGCTCATAATTGTAACTCGTATAATGACACTGCATGTGCATGTTCCGCATTAACAAAAACAGACAATATAAAATATCTGGGTATCACGCTTGACACAAATTTAAATTTCCGCAAGCACATCGATTTACTTTGTGCTAGAGTTCGTAAATTAATATATATTTTTAAATATCTTCGTAACATCGCTGACTTCAAATTGATAAGACAGGTCTATTTAGCTTTGTGTCAATCCATACTCACTTATGGCATTACTTCCTGGGGTGGAGCTTCTAAAACAATATTGCTCCCATTAGAAAGTGCTCAGAGAGCAGTTTTAAAGGTAGCCACTTTCCGTCCATTCATGTTTCCTACACATCAACTTTACTTGGCATGTAGTGTGCTAACTGTCCGTCAGTTGTTTATCCTGAACATCATATTAAAACAGCACACCGAACTTCCATTTAACTTAAAATCCATAGACAGGAAGAAGAATGGACTTAGTTTGTGTAAACACTCAAACCAAACACGCATTTGTGAACAAATTTTACATATTTTTAGGACCCTTTCTATATAACAAGCTCAACAAGTCACTAAAGGTATATAGTCTAAGTTATAAGAACTGTAATATAAGTGTAAGGGAATTTCTAAATAAATTAAATTACGAAGACACAGAGAAGTTGTTAGAAATTCTAAAATAGTTTGTATTAATTGTGGGAAACAATTAATTGTTATTTTGTTATTTACTTATTTTATTTATTATATAATATAGTTTAATTATTTAAATATCTAGTGTCCTACATTATTAAACCCATTGTGTAAGTGATGTCTGAAACACAGGTACTCAAGCTAGTTCAGGCAGGTAGCTAATATTATAAATTTGACTTTTTTTATTTTTCTTTTGTATATTCTACATTATTAAGCTACACATAGTTTTAATTTTATCATAGTATGTTATTTTTGTTAGACTTATTGTTACTTTATTTAATTGTAATCATATTTATTCCTGTATGTAAACATGTGTAATTGGAAATGAAATAAATATTTATTATTATTATTATGGGGTATCTATATAGTTTTCTCATCTGGTTGGGTTCTATAAATATATAATTATAAATGAAAATGAAAAGATAAATATACATAAATATCAATAACATAAAATAAATACATACATAAATAAATAAAAGCCCAACCAGATGGAGGCCCTCGGCAGGGGAGACCAAACGGCCGAGGGCTAGGGGGAAAGGGAAAGAAACCGGCGGACGATGCGGGCGGTATCGAGGAGCACCGCCTTCTGCATTTGAGCCCGGAGCGGTCCGCCACGTAGTCCCAGTCGTCTCAGATGACCCGAGAAGCTGACTGGGATTAGCCCGTTTGCAGAGACGACTACAGGAGTAATTTCGGTCGGCAGACCACCCCACATGTCGGTCACCTCGTGAGCCAGGTCCAGATATTTTGTTTGCTTGTCTGTTTCGGTTTTCACGAGGTTCTCGTCATACGGAATGGTAATGTCGACCAAAAATATCCTTGACTGTGCCCGGTCCATCAGCACAATATCAGGCTTATTCGCAAGAATAGTCCTGTTTATGATGATGGCCCGGTCCCAATAGAGCCTGGCGCGATCATTTTCGAGCACGGCTTCCAGCAAATACTTGTAATACGGCAATTTCCGATCCACGAGACCGTATTTCAGAGCGAGCTCCTGGTGAAAAATTCTGGCTACTAGGTTGTGCCTGTGCAAGTACTCAGAGTTAGAAAGCGCCGAACAACCGGAGATGACATACCTAAGTGACTCACCGGGATGGCGACAAGCTCGACAGATGTCCACGGTGCCATCCTTTAGGATGTATCTCCGATAGTTGTTGGTCTTAATAACCTGACCCTGTATTGCATAGACAAAACCCTCGGTTTCCCCGAAGAGATCACCAAAGCATAGCCAGTGGAGGGAGGCTACTGTGACTACGAAAGGCTCATGTAGAGCCTTGTAGAACCTCCCATGGAGCTCCTTCTCCTTCCATACGGTCTCCCGGTCGGAAATGCTAAGCACTGCTGGGTCCTGCCATTGCTCGTTGGCTAAGGATAGAGGGGTAAGCCCTTTATCACTAGAAATGACGTCATTATAGAATGGATTATCCGATCTCGCCAGGAAGTAATCACGGAGGCTGCACACTTCGCGATTATGCATGGTGAGCGCGCTCAGAAAACCACGTCCACCATGCTTTCGCGGCAAGTACAGCCTCATTACCGACGATCTCGGATGATGCATCCTATGGGACGTCATGGTAGTGCGGACTTTTCTATCCAGGGCGTTAAGTTCAGTCTGGGTCCACATGAATATGCCAAAGGTATACATGAGGACAGGAATGACCCAACCGTTATATGCGTGTGTCTTATTCACACCGGACAAAAGGCTGTTAATCACTTTGGTCAAGCGTGCATAAACACGTCGCAAACTGACTGTTTCATACCAGCCTCATCGATACCGATGTTCTGTGACATACCCAGGTATCGGTATGTTTCAGCCTCGGAAAGGGTCCTTAAGTTGACGGACATAGATAAGTCTATGCCCTCAGAGTTAGCAACCCTTCCCCTTTCAACATGGAGGACCGCACACTTATCCGTTCCCAGCTCCATTCCAATAGAATTGCTAAATTCACAAGTGATGTTTAACAATTCCATAAGATGGGAGCGACTGGAGGCGAATAACTTGAGGTCATCCATATAGAAAAGGTGGGTCACTTTTGTACCTCCTTTCCGAAGCTGAAATCCCCTCCCGGAGCCCTCCAGTAAAGTACTGAGAGGGTTCAGGGAGAGGCAAAACCAGATTGGACTCAGACAATCGCCCTGGAAGATAACACTTCTTATCCTTATGTGGTTCTCCGCAGCCATCATCCGCTCGCCCAGATAGCAAAGGATCGAAACTCCGAGAAGTCTCCAACTACATCAATTTTGTACAGCTGGAGGACTCTCTTTAGCCATGTATGGGGCACCGAGTCGAATGCCTTTCTGTAGTCTATCCAGGCGGCGGAGAAATTCCGACGGTTGCGTTTCACCACTTTGCCAATGACCGCGTCAATGAGGAGGGTTCCTGGTTCCACGACCACCGCCCCGGCATCCATTTTGAGCGCGTGACATCACCTGATTTAGCTCAGGTGACGAGTGATTCTCGCGCTCAAAATGGATGTCAGTGTCTTATATATGGTGGGTAGACACGTGATGGGGCGGTATTTGCTCGGGTCTGTGGTATCCTGATCTTTAGGAACCAAATGAGTGATCCCAGTAGTGAAGAGGCTCGGGAGCGACTTCTGATCGAGAGCCTCTTGAAACTGTCGGGCGAGCACAGCGTGACACACTACGAACCCCTTCAGCCAGTAATGATGCAGCCCGTCGAGCCCCGGACTTTTCCAGTTCGGGGCCCTACGGACCGCCTCAGCCACGTCTTCAGGCGTTATGGTGACGGGGTCCATAGGCGTAACACTTGCACTCTGGCTCGCCACAACTTCCATCCAAGGGCCCTCGCTGTGGTTTACGGGCTCTGACCACAGGCCACGCCAAAATGCGACAGTGTCAGCCTGATCCGGTCCTGGGCCCGCTCCACATACCTCTGGTCGCTCCAATGATATATAGAGCCTCTTCTGATCACTCTGGAAGAGACAATTCTGGTTGAACCGCCTTGACCTCTCGCTAAATCGTCGAATCCGCTTTCCCCAAGCAGCGATTTTTTGCTTCAGGTCATCTATACGCTCCGTTAGTTTTTGCGTGAAATCCGGCTGGAACAAACTGATATTTGTCCCAGCAAACGCCATCCTAACGGTGCGCATAATCCTCGGTCTATTATTACCCGACCTGAAGCTTGTCAGTCTGCCGATAAGGGCCCTTGCCTTTGCGATACGGTCCTCAATTCTTTTTCTCCAGGCTGGGATGGCGCTACTTTTTTGAGTAGCACGTCCAGCTACGGGAAGTTTGGCGCCAATAATACGGCATACTGCCAGTGCGGCGCCAAAACGAATTGAATCCGTCTCGCAAAGGTCCCGGCTGGCTTCCAAATAGGTCACCAGCATTGGGTTAAGAGCCCGCACGACAGCCCGATTTCGCTTGCTAAGGGGTATGCGGGGAAGTCGCGGTCGATTTTCGAGAAGGCGTGCTGCGCGTTTCCAGCATCGACTCTTCCAATATGCTCCTCATTTTCTCTAGTTCGTGGGAGACTATTCCATCATCGTCTGAATTAGCCACAAATGGAATGTTGACGGCAGCATCCACATATGCAGTTTGTTGCGCATCTAGTGGCGCCGCATTCCCAGCCGTAGCATTTCCATTCGATGAAGGAATAGCCTCACGTCGTAGTCGCTCGAGTTCGGCGTCACCAAATATGTTGGAGCGCAGGATGTACCTAACTCGGTCTGCCAGGTTTTGCTCAGTGACGGATAGAGATGGCTCCAGCTCTGCAAAAAAGCGATGCATCCGAGCCCGATACGCCAAACATCCAGTTTCTTCCCCTTTTGCCCTAAAATACGCCCGCAGTGCGTTTTCATTCATTGATTTAGACCAACGCATGCGACGTGCTCCACCAGCGGCGGGTGCCGCTTGCTGAGTCCGAGAAGACCCAGCCGACACCAAGCCTTCTGGTGGAGATGATGGATGCGCGGGGCTGCTAGGTGGTCTTGCAACACCCCGCGCTCGGCTGGCGGCCCGCATGCTGTCCGTCCAGCGCCAGCTCCAGACGCGCCCTGGCGACCTCCAGGCAGCGGCCCTTTGCGCACTATCTTTTTCTCCATCATCCATAATATGGGCGTCCATTAAGACACCACCCCTCACACTAATTTTCACTTACGTTACGTCAGCGCAGCGTTATTATTATTATTTTGGGGTATCTATATAGTTTTCTCATCTGGTTGGGTGCTGTAAATATATAATTATAAATGAAAATGAAAAGACAAATATACATAAATATCAATAACATAAAATAAATATAAAAGTACATAAATAAATAAAAGCCCAACCAGATGGAGGCCCTCGGCAGGGGGAGACCAAACGGCCGAGGGTTAGGGGGGAAAGGGAAAGAAACCTGCGGACGATGCGGGCGGTATCAAGGAGCACCGCCTTCTGCATTTGAACCTGGAGCGGTCCGCCACGTAGTCCCAGCCGCCTCAGATGACCTGAGAGGCTGACTGGGATTAGCCCGTTTGCAGAGACGACTACAGGAATAATTTCGGTCGGCAGACCACCCCACATGTCGGTCACCTCGTGAGCCAGGTCCAGATATTTTGTTTGCTTGTCTGTTTCGGCTTTCACGAGGTTCTCGTCATACGGAATGGTAATGTCGACCAAAAATATCCTTGACTGTGCCCGGTCCATCAGCACAATATCAGGCTTATTCGCAAGAATAGTCCTGTCTGTGATGATGGCCCGGTCCCAATAGAGCCTGGCGCGATCATTTTCGAGCACGGCTTCCGGCAAGTACTTGTAATACGGCAATTTCCGATCCACGAGACCGTATTTCAGAGCGAGCTCCTGGTGAAGAATTCTGGCTACTAGGTTGTGCCTGTGCAAGTACTCAGAGTTAGAAAGCGCCGTACAACCGGAGATGACATGCCTAAGTGACTCACCGGGATGGCGACAAGCTCGACAGATGTCGACGGTGCCATCCTTTAGGATGTATCTCCGATATTGTTGGTCTTAATAACCCGATCCTGTATTGCACAGACAAAACCCTCGGTTTCCCCCGAAGAGATCACCAAAGCGTAGCCAGTGGAGGGAGGCTACTGTGTCCACGAAGGCTCATTAGAGCCTTTAGAACCTCCCGTGGAGCTCCTTCTCCTTCCATACGGTCTCCCGGTCGGAAATGCTCTGCACTGCCGGGTCTTGTTATTATTATTATGGGGTATCTATATAGTTTTCTCATCTGGTTGGGATGTATAAATATATAATTATAAACGAAAATGAAAAGATAAATATACATAAATATCAATAAAATAAAATAAATACAAAAATACATAAATAAATAAAAGCCCAACCAGATGGAAGCCCTCGGCAGGGGAGACCAAACGGCCGAGGGTTAGGGGGAAAGGGAAAGAAACCGGCGGACGATGCGGGCAGTATCAAGGAGCACCGCCTTCTGCATTTGAGCCCGGAGCGGTCCGTCACGGAGTCCCAGTCGCCTCAGATGACCAGAGAGGCTGACTGGGATTAGCCCATTCGCAGAGACGACTACAGGAATAATTTCGGCCGGCAGACCACCCCACATGTCGGTCACCTCGTGAGCCAGGTCCAGATATTTTGATTGCTTATCTGTTTCGGCTCTCACGAGGTTCTCGTCATACGGGATGGTAATATCGACCAAAAATATCCTTGACTGTGCCCGGTCCATCAGCACAATATCAGGCTTATTCGCAAGAATAGTCCTGTCTGTGATGATGGCCCGGTCCCAGTAGAGCCTGGCGCGGTCATTTTCGAGCACGGCTTCCGGCAAGTACTTGTAATACGGCAATTTCCGGTCCACGAGACCGTATTTCAGAGCGAGCTCCTGGTGTAGAATTCTGGCTACTAGGTTGTGCCTGTGCAAGTACTCAGAGTTAGAAAGCGCCGAACAACCGGAGATGACATGCCTAAGTGACTCCCCGGGATGGCGACAAGCTCGACAGACGTCGACGGTGCCATCCTTTAGGATGTATCTCCGATAGTTGTTGGTCTTAATAACCTGATCTTGTATTGCACAGACAAAACCCTCGGTTTCCCCGAAGAGGTCACCGAAACGTAGCCAGTTGAGGGAGGCGACTGTATCTACGAAGGGCTCATGTAGAGCCTTGTAGTACCTCCCGTGGAGCTCCTTCTCCTTCCATACGGTCTCCCGGTCGGAAATGCTAAGCACTGCTGGGTCCTGCCATTGCTCGTTGGCTAAGGATAGAGGGGTAAGCCCTTTATCACTAGAAATGACGTCATTATAGAATGGATCATCCGATCTCGCCAAGAAGTATTGACGGAGACTGCACACTTCGCGATTATGCATAGTGAGCGCGCTCAGAAAGCCACGCCCACCGTACTTTCGCGGCAAGTACAGCCTCATTACCGACGATCTCGGATGATGCATCCTATGGGACGTCATGGTAGTGCGGACTTTTCTATCCAGGGCGTTAAGCTCAGTCTGAGTCCACCTGAGTATGCCAAAGGTATACATGAGGACAGGCATGACCCAGCAGTTATATGCGTGTGACTTATTCACACCGGACAAAAGGCTGTTAAGCACTTTGGTCAAGCGTGCATAAAACACGTCGCAAACTGACTGTTTCATACCAGCCTCATCGATACCGATGTTCTGTGACATACCCAGGTATCGGTATGTTTCAGCCTCGGAAAGGGTCCTTAAGTTGACGGGCATAGACAAGTCTATACCCTCAGAGTTAGCAACCCTTCCCCTTTCAACATGGAGGACCGCACACTTATCCGTCCCCAGCTCCATTCCAATGGAACTGCTAAATTCACAAGTGATGTTTAGCAGTTCCATAAGATGGGAGCGACTGGAGGCGAATAACTTGAGGTCATCCATATAGAAAAGGTGGGTCACTTTTGTCCCTCCTTTCCGTAGCTGAAATCCCCTCCCGGAGCCCTCCAGTAAGGCACTGAGAGGGTTAAGAGAGAGGCAGAACCAGATTGGACTCAGGCAATCGCCCTGGAAGATACCCCTTCTTATCCTTATGTGGTTCTCCGCAGCCGTCATCCGCTCGCCCAGATGACAAAGGATCGTACTCCACTGCCCCATACACTGCTCGAGGAAGTCTCTAACTGTACAGTCAATCTTGTACAGCTCGAGGACCCTCTTTAGCCATGTATGGGGCACCGAGTCGAACGCCTTTCTGTAGTCTATCCAGGCGGCAGAGAAGTTCCGACGGTTGCGTTTCACCACTTTGCCTATGACCGCGTCAATGAGGAGTGGTTCCTTAGTTCCACGACCACCGCCCCGACATCCATTTTGAGCGCGTGACATCACCTGGTTTAGCTCCAGGTGACGAGTGATTCTCGCGCTCAAAATGGATGTCAGTGTCTTATATATGGTGGGTAGACACGTGATGGGGCGGTATTTGCTCGGGTCTGTGGTATCCTGATCTTTAGGAACCAAGTGAGTGATCCCAGTAGTGAAGAGGCTCGGGAGTGACTTCTGGTCGAGAGCCTCTTGAAACTGTCGGGCGAGCACAGCGTGACACACTACGAACCCCTTCAGCCAGTAATGATGCAGCCCGTCGAGCCCCGGACTTTTCCAGTTCGGGGCCCTACGGACCGCCTCAGCCACGTCTTCTGGCGTTATGGTGATGGGGTCCATAGGCGTAACACTCGCACCCTGGCTCGCCACAACTTCCATCCAAGGGCCCTCGCTGTGGTTTACGGGCTCTGACCACAGGCCACGCCAAAATGCGACAGTGTCAGCCTGATCCGGTCCTGGGCCCGCTCCACATACCTTTGGTCGCTCCAATGATTTATAGAGCCTCTTCTGATCACTCTGGAAGAGACGATTCTGGTTGAACCGCCTTGACCCCTCGGAAAATCGTCGAATCCGCTTCCCCCATGCAGCGATCTTTTGCTTCAGGTCGTCTATGCGCTCCGTTAGTTTCTGCGCGATATCCGGCTGGGACAAACTGATATTTGTCCCAGCAAACGCCATCCTAACGGTGCGCACAATCCTCGGTCTATTATTACCCGACCTGAAGCTTGTCAGTCTGCCGATAAGGGCCCTTGCCTTTGCGATACGGTCCTCGATTCTTTTTCTCCAGGCTGGGATGGCGCTACTTTGTGTAGTAGCGCGTCCAGCCATGGGAAGTTTGGCGCCAATAATACGGCAAACTGCCACTGCGGCGCCAAAGAGAATCGAGTCCGTCTCGCAAAGGCCCCGGCTGGCTTCCAAATAGGTCACCAGCATTGGGTTAAGAGCCCTCACGACAGCCCGATTTCGCTTGCTTAGGGGTATGCGGGGAAGTCGCGGTCGATTTTCGAGAGGGGTGCTGCGCGTTTCCAAAATCGCCTCTTCCAATATACTCCTCATTTGTTCTAGTTCGTGGGAGACTATTTCATCGTCGTTCGAATCAACCACAACTGGAAGATCCATGGCGGCTTCCACGTGTGGATGCTGGTCTGTCGAATGTGGAGCTGCATCTCCAGCCATAGCTGATTCATTCGACGACGGAATAGCCTCACGTCGTAGTCGTTCGAGTTCGGCATCATCAAATATTTTCGAGCGCATGATGTACCGAACTCGGTCTGCCAGGTTTTGTTCCGTGACGGAGATAGACGGCTCCAGCTCAGCAAAAAAGCAATGCATCCGAGACCTATACGCTATTCCCACAGTTTCTTCCCCCTTTCGCCCTATAGTACGCCCGCAATGCGTTTTCGTTCATGGATTTTGTCCAACGCATGCGACGTGCTCCACCAGCGGCGGGTGCCGCTTGCTGGGTCCGAGAAGACCCAGCCGACACCAAGCCTTCTGGTGGGGATGATGGATGCGAGGGGCTGCTAGGTGATCGTGCAGCTCCTCGCGCTCGGCTGGCGGCCCGCATGCTGCCGCGTCCAGCGCCAGCTCCAGACGCGCCCCGGCGACCCCCAGGCAGCGGTCCTATGCGCATTCCTTTCTGTGCCATATCCATTTTATGGGCGCCAAATAACGGGAGACGCCCAAGCCCGGCACCGTTTCGTGGTTGGGTCATATGCACAAACGGACCTTTGCATCTACAATTTTGCCTAGGCACGGCGCTCACACCTCTTGGCAGGATGCTGACTGACTGCGCCGACGTCGCAGTTTTGTCACATAACTGTTACGTCAGCGGGCGATGGGGTCGTCACTTCCCTACGCCTTATTATTATTATTATTATTATTATTATTATTACAAAAGAAGTATGCAATGGGCGGTCGTATTGCCGATATATATCTTCCAAATAACCAATGAATGGACGGGATTACACAAAGATGATAGGGTAAGGGCAAATTGGTGTGATAAAAAAAGAATACACATTTTATATATATATATATATATATATATATATATATATATATATATATATATATATATATATATATATATATATATATATATATATATATATGTATATATAATAAACATACATATATTACAAACATATATACATACAAAAATAAAATAAATATATATTTCATTAAATTCAATAAATATACTACATATATACTATATTAAATGGCTACATTAATGGCTAGTGTGGGAGCGAAGTTAAAGTGCAAGGTAATGATTCTTTACTAGTTTTTTTTTTAAATACCGATAGGAATAGTGCGCGTTTGATTTCCAATGGGAGTTAGTTCCATAAACGAACGGCCTGTACAATAAAAGACTTGTTCGTAAATTTACTAGTGTGTCATCATCATCATCATTATTACAGGCCTTCACAAGTCCACTGCTGAACATAGGCCTCCCCAAGGTATGCCACAAAACACGGTCCTGAGCCACCTGCATCCAATGACTTCCTGCATGTCTTACCAGGTCGTCATCCATCTAGTGAGGGGTCGCCCTACACTTCGCCTACCGGTACGAAGCTGCCACTCGAGAACCTTTTTTCCCCAACGGTAGTCGGTTCTTCGAGCTATATGGCCGGCCCATTGCCACTTAGCTTACTAATCCGTTGGGCTATGTCGGTCACTCTGGTTCTACTGCGGATATCCTCATTTCTAAGTTTATCACACAGAGATACTCTGAGCATAGCCCTCTCCATAGCTCGCTGAGTATCCTCATACGGCCAGCAGTGAAGGATCACGTCTCGGTCTCGTCCACGTTATCACTGGCAACACGCACTAGTTGTACAACTTAGTTTTCAGGTTTTGAGTTATACCTGACGAGAGGCCTACGTTCAGCAGTGGACTTGTGAAGGGCTGTAATGATGATGACGAGAAGATGCGTCGTAATTTCCCGAACGCTGCCCAGCCGAGTTGAATACATCGATTGGTATGTATGTGGTCTATGGTACTAAAGCCTTTTCGGAAACCGGCTTGTTCGGGAGGCTGGAAGTCGTCGAGTCTGCATGCGAGACGATTCGTAATGACTCTCGAAAACAGCACGTAGACGCGGCTCAGAAGGGATATCGGTCTTTAGTTTTTTAAGAGGGCGTTGTCATCTTTCTCGAAGAACAAGACCACCGCACTTCTGCTCCACGCCTCCGGAGTAGTGCCACCATGAAGAACGGAATTAAAGAGCCTCTGAAGGACTTCAAGTACCGGTTTTCCACCCGCTTTCAGAAACTCCGTTGTAATTCCATCCTCGCCCAAGGACTTGTGGACGATAAACCCGATACCTTCTCGGGACAGATGGTTGCCCTTCCGGTGATAGAACAAGTTACCGGACTCGAAGATTACCGTGTCCTCGCCCTCTCTTCGGACCTCGGATAATCCAATAATATGCCAGCGCAACTTGTCTACCTCTTCTTCCAACTCCAGTATTTTCTCGTCAGTCCTCAGGGTGCGTGCGTTATATGTTGCCAGGTCGAGTCATCGTAGGTGGCAACCGAACCTCCACCGGAGATTCTTAGCACCCCCTGCCCCGCCGTTACCATGGTCGCCACCGTAGCCAGGAATAGCGGGGCCGCCGGGGACTGGGGGCCGTCTATTTGTGTCATTCTTCATGGAGGGGTATATTGCCATTGTTGCCACGCTTGGCGAGAGGGTTGGCAACCGCAGTTATTCTATTATATTATTGTTGTTATTAGGACGATGCTGCTGCCCATCTCCTGCCTGTCTCCCTCTGTCGCCTCTTACGACACCCACGGGAAGATATGGGGTAGTGGATATTCTCAAACGCCACTACACGGCAACTGGTGTGTGTACTAGTGTGTGTATGTGTGGTATTCAATTTCAAGCTCTCTGCTGATCTCAGGGTACGCGAATGGGAATCACGAAGAAACTCAAAACATTTTTTAAGAAGGTAAGAAGGATTATAGAGAACACTACAGAGAAGATGAAGTATGTGAGCATTCCGAAGAAGTCGTATTGACAAACAGTTGAGCTTAGTACGCAAGAGTTATTGTGTAATAGTTTGGTATTATCGCATCTAACTTACTATGACATGGTTTATGCTCCTTGTCTATTCAAAAAAACTGCCATGGTTGTGCAGAGGGTGCAGAATGCGTGAGTGCCGTTTTGTTACAATGTCTCCAGGAGACACCATATTACACCAGTTTTAATTGAGAAAAAAATACTGAGTATTTCCAAACAATTTACCTTGAAATATGCATGTTTTCTACACTCGTTGCTTCGTTTTAAGTCACTTGCCTACTTGTGTGATAAACTTTTTCCAAAAACAACAAATGTAAATAAATCTCTAAGGGATAGCGGATACCAGCTAAATGTCCTGAAACTGAGGTAAGATGGTGCTAGAGGCTGTTTTAAGCCTTAATCAAAATATTGAATGATTTACCACCGCCAGATCAATCGCTGTTAAAGCACTCGCTGCCGACGTTGCGCAAAAAATGTCGCGACTGGCTGCTTCACAGGCAGTCACTGGCACTTACAAGCTTGTTTAATAACAGGCCCTTTCGAAAATTACATATACGTTAAGGTTTTATTTTGCTGTACAAAAGCTTGGATTTTTACTAGGGTTTGGGTCTCGGGACGTCTCTTGTCTCGTAGTCCCGGGACTTTTGGTAATTTTAGTTGTCTCGAGTCCCGGGACTTTCGGGTCGAGACTCGAGACGAGACAAGATTGTCAAAATTGTTGTTATCATTTTATTTTCAAATAATTGAAGGAGTCTAAAGCCATTCTGTTAGTTTAACGAGTAATTACTGAGCTGAGCACACAACACAATAAATGCGTTTGCCGAGCTACCACCATGCCGCCATATTTGTTGTTCTGTGACGTTTGGATTATGATTGTGTCAGTTCAGATCATGTCAGTTGAGTCAGTCAGTCGTCAATTTCGTTTATGATTAAGTGTGGTGTGGTACTTCTTTTAAACTTATTTTACTACTGGATGTTAAAACAAGGCGAAATTCCATCATTGTGATGGTTGAACGGTTTTTGAAGCTCAAAAATTGCATGAAGTAAGCGTTGATTGATTTAAACACAATTGGAACGAAAACAATCTTCTTCTTTTGTAGTCAATCTTTGGTTTTTTGCAACCGAACAAGATAGCTGTAGAAGCTTTACGGGGACAAAACGCTTCATTACTTACAGGCTTAGCAAAAATTGACGAGTTGCTCAAAAAAATTCAGTCGACAACGACGAATAATGATTTTGCGAAGCGGTTCTTTGAAACTTTCAAACCACATCTTTGAGAGAAGACGACAACAAGTTGTATGCTTGTTAAAATATTTGCATACTGGCCACCACCCCTCACAGTCTCAAAACACGGACTTTTTTACCTCGACTATTAGTAAAACTGCACTAGTTGGCTTTCCGGAAGAACTGTAACAATACAAAATAAAAATACAAAAAGAAAATATGCCTACTATCCGGACACCAGATGTAGAAACAATGAGCGCTGAACCTATAACTAGTAGCTCTCAAGTACACAACAAGTCTGATGAGTATTTTATAAATCAAATAGAACAGGTAATAAAAAATATCCAATAAAATGAACCCGAGATTCTGGAAAAAAAGAACAACATTAAAAAAGGAGTTTCAGTTGTTTAAAGCAACCGAAAAATTTACTGAAAATTTGGAACTATGTACTGTATAAAGTCTTAAACATAATTGAACCGACATCTGTTGAAAACGAGAAAGTGATCTCCTTTTTCGGTGACATTATTACAAAAATCAGAAACAGATTTTTGGACAAAGCTGTTAACGCTTTGATTTTTTTAAAGCCTAAGTATTTTATTAAATCAGCAAAGAAGTCTAATTAATGTGTTATTTGATTATTTAAAACACTGATTTATACCTAAGTGTGGTTTATTAATTATATTAAGATTATTTAATTATGGAACAAATTTGTGATTATGAGATTTAACAATGTTGTGATTATGACCAAAGATTAAATACTAGAATTATTAGATAAAAGTAAAGTTATTAGGAACTAGTATGGTTTTTAACAAAGTTCATTTTAAAACTATTAGCTAACTGTGGAGGATGATAGTGAGATCCACCATATAAATATCGGTTGGTATGGGTTTTTTTTTCTGTACACAGTGTGACCAATAGTGTTATCAAAATTTCGGATGAATAAAACATCTAGAAAAGCTAAAGAATTATTTGCCTCTAACTCCATTGTGAATTGTATTTTGGAGCCTATAGAGTTAAGGTGGTCTAAAAATGCAGTTACTTTGTCAGATAGTAAAGTTGTGAAAGTGTCGTCTACGTCCCGCTTGTAGAATCTTGGATTTACTGGAGCAGTAAGAAGGGACTTCTCCTCAAAGTACTCCACGAATATGTCGGCGACTATGGGAGATACAAGTGAGCCCATCGCCATACCATCTACTTGCTTGTGTACCAGATGTGAGGCAGTGTTTGAGTAATACTGCATATTCAGCAGGCATGTTGTTATCTTCTAGCTTCCTAGTTACAATTGAGATGCAATCTTCAATAGGTAGGCATGTGAAAAGTGACTGAACATCGAAACTGGCCATAGTTTCATTGTCAGCGAGATGTAGATCTTTAATCTCACTAACAAAATGGTATGAATCCTTTGTGTGTGCTCTGGTATGTCATTTCAGTGGTGACAGTATTTTTGCCAGGTATTGTGCCAGCTTATAAGTTGGTAAACAGATCTGGCTCACTGTGGGACGTAGTGGAGCGTTTGGTTTGTGTATCTTCGGTAACCCATATAACCTCGGTGGTTTGGTACATGATGGTATTAACGAATTCACATCGAGATCTAATTTTTCGGAGTATTTCTTTATTAAATCGCTAGTTGTTTTAAGCGTGTTAGTTGTGGGGTCTGTTTTGACCTTTTTTGTATGTACTTTCGTCCGATAAAAGTTGTTGTATTTTGAAATTATACTCTAAAGTGTCCATTAATACCGTAGCGTTTCCTTTTGGGTTAAGCCACTCAAGCGTCCACGGTGACTGTAGCCCCCATAAAAATTCTCGCCTTACCTGTCCATGGTGACTACAGTCCCCGAACGACATCTTTCGATTTACATAGATGTTAATAATACAGTAAAAAAAAAACAAAAGATGGTGCTATTTGAAGTTTTTCATCCGTGAGAGTGAATTTTAGCTGCGAAATGACAATAAAATATTCAGAAAAAAATGTGCAATGGCAATAAAATATTCAGAAAGAAATACTGTTAGTATTCCATTCCTGTTTGTGGGCAGTTAAAGTGTATGGAGCTTAATCAAAAACTGTGATAATCTTTCTGTTTTTATACGTTTACGTATTACGTTGTTTTTTACATTTTTTTACGTTCAAAGGATGTGATACCTCAGAAAGTGCTTTGAGCATAGTGCTTGAGGTAGTTAATTTCTTCCGAACAACGTCCAACATAAACCTCAACCAGTGTCTCAAAATCCCTTTATTGACAAATATTCGATGAAACAATTTTTCTCACAAAATACACAAATACCACAGCAAGGTTTTAAAATTAATACACCCCAAAGCACACCAAACATGGGACCTCAATTTCAACCCTCTCAACAATTTCAACCCCAACATAATATGCAATTTCAACCAAGATTTAAATTTGGAATACCACCAAGCAAGCAAATTAAATTGCCAACACAGCAACCCCAACAATTCGGAATTAAACCACAACCCCCTCAACAACCCACAGGATATAAGCCGCAATTAAGTGTAACACCACAGTTTGGATATAGACCAAACTTTACCCAAGACCACCACCTCAATTACAACGACCACAATTTCAATCGACCGATGTAAGCATGCGTACAGCCCCACCTGTGAAACCTCAAGGTTTTCGTATGAACGAGTTATGCGCGCTTAACGAAAACTGTGACGACACTTATGACGACACCCCTTATCATGACGTAGATCACATGCAAACGGTAGATGAAATTAATTATTGCGAAAACTCTGAAATACTCGAATATAACGAACCAGAATTACCACAAGAAATCGAAATTTTTCTAATACAAGTCTCAAATCAATCCCAGAGATAATACACATAAATTGTTACCCTAAATTAAAATTACCATATATAGTAATACCCGAAATTAATGCTAAGTTTATGATCGATACCGGGAGTTCTAGATCTTTCATAAGCCCTTCTAAAACCAACGATTATTTTGCGAATTTTAAACGTTACGAACCATTTGAAGTTATCAATACACACGCATCTAGTTTACACGCTGACGTAATAATTATACCTCTATTTCCGACTTTCAATAGTAATCAGACGCATAAGTTTTATGTGTACGATGTAGACGGCCGTTATGACGGACTTATCGGAAGTAATCTCCTTAAACAATTAGATTCCAAAATCGATATGATGATTCCGCAAATATACCCATAATTTATAATCCGACTAACGAAATTAAATTAGCGCCGCGTTGCGAATAAAGTGTTAGATTACCAACCAATTTATTAAACGGAGAAGCTATATCAAATCAGACCAAATTATGTAATGGCGTTAGAATGCCCAGTTCTCTTGTTAAATGCGAGAACGGTTACGCGACAACAGTAATACAAAATACTTGACACAAAGAAATGACATTAGTTGTAACTAAACCTTTTAATGTGACTAGACATAATCTGGGCATTACCTTCTCGCCCCGCAGCGAAGCCGACTCTCCAGAGGAGGCGGCTGTGCTGTTGAGGGCACAAAATGAAGGGCTCCGTACTGAGCTCTGGAGAATCTTTCACCGTAGGGACGAGGAGAATGGGTTCTTAGTAACCTTTTCTCTAGACGACCCATCGGCAGAGGCTCCTCGGAAGGCAGGCGGCAGAGTCGTCCATGGCTTTAAGATGATAACTTTTAAAGTCAGGGGAGGCTCTGACGCGGCAATAAAGCCCGAACCGCCCCAACTCCAATCCCCCCAGCCCTCTACCTCTCGGGGTGGGGCTGGAACACCACCGGTGAGAGTGACGCAGACCCAAGGCGCAAATTTCGCCTCGATCCGACGGCCTTCGCCGGTGTCGTCCAGGCCTGGGGGGAGGGGAGGTAGGAGCGGTTTGACGAAAGGCAAGGCGGGGGTCAAGTGCGCAGGTAAAGGACGTCCTCGTCCTCAACAGGCGGAAAAGACCCCTGACCCCCCATGCCCATAAATGGCTAAACCCAAGGGTAAGACGAGGGTCCTCCAAGCAAATCTTCACCATGCAGCAGCTGCTTCTGCCGTGGTGGAGGTTTGCTTTGCAGAGGACAACATTGACCTCGCCCTTATACAAGAGCCTTGGGTGGCCAACGGTCAAGTTCTGGGATTAGCAGATGCCGGTACAGGTCTAAAGTACTGCAATGATGACCTGGTTACAGCCTTCATAAATCTCAAGAGATGCACAGGGGCCAGAGTAATCATTTGCTCAGCTTATCTTCCCGGCGAGAACGCAGATCCTACCATACAGTTAGAGCGAGTGGCGGAGTTCGCCCGAAAACACAACGCCGAACTTGTGGTGGGTTGTGATGCTAATGCTCACCACACAGCCTGGGGGAGCACCAACATCAACGAAAGATGTGAGTTACTTTATGATTTTCTCATCTCCAACCGCCTGGTAAGCCTAAACTTAGGTTGTATACCAACCTTTGTAACGCGTGCCAGGCAAGAAGTGTTAGACTTAACCTTTGCTACCAATAACATGTCCAGGCGGATAAATGACTGGCATATTAGTAGCGACAACTCGATGTCTGATCACAAGCACATTAAGTTTGTGATCGGAGCATCACCAACTTACGAAACCGTTACTTTTAGGGATCCAAAAGCGATATTTATAGTGCATCCCTAACTGAATATAATAAAGGAATTAGGAAAGCCAAGAGAGCATCGTGGAGGAAGCTACGCGAGGAAGTTTTTTTTTTTCGCAGTGCAAGACTACACAAAATGCTATCGAAAGCTAAACCTAATCAGATTGGGCTTCTTAAAAAGCCAGATGGTAACTTCACAGAAGGATTGAAGTTACTAGCGTCAACCCATTTCCCAGGGTTACACAAGACTTCAGCCTTGAATTCTTTCAGAGCCTTACGAAGGCCTTGTAATGAGGACTGGTGTAGGGCTGCAAGGATAATAAGACCGAACCTGGTGCAGTGGGATGTTGACTCCTTTGAACCATTTAAATCAAGCTGGGAGGATGGAATAATTCCCATCCAACTACAGAGTGGTATCGACATCCTTCTTCCTTATCTGGTAAAAATCTTCATAGCAAGTTTTGCATGGGGATATATTCCAGAATGATGGACAATTGTCAAGGTTCTATTTATACCTAAGGCTGGTAGAAAGGACTACGCTTTACCAAAGTCCTTTAGACCTATAAGCCTATCTTCCTTTCTTCTTAAGACATTGGAAAAGGTTATAGATAGATATATAAGGGATGTAGCTCTAGCTACGAGGCCCATACATTACAACCAGCATGCTTACCGCAGAAGCAAATCTACGGAAACAGCCCTGATCAGTGTCATTGACAGAGTCGAAAAAGCACTGGAGCACAAAGAAATAGCTCTTTGTGCCTTTCTAAATATTGAGGGCGCCTTCGACAGTAGCCCGCCCCACATCACTGCTGATTGGGAGCCTGACATCTAAAAATGTTGACCCCTCAACTATCAGATGGGTGAAGTCGATGCTCTCAAACAGAAAGGCAAAAATAGCGCTGTTTCAAACTTCGATTGAGGTTGCAACTATAAGAGGCTGCCCACAAGGAGGTGTTTTGTCACCCCTTCTTTTGACTCTTGCGGTTGACCAATTATTGTACAAAATGGCAGACTTACGCATTAATACACTGGGTTATGCTCATGACCTTGTGATCATTGCGAGGGGCTTTTGCCAAAGTACTTTATCGTCAATAATACAAAGAGCCCTAAACACCATAAATAACTGGTGTGGGGTAACAGTTTATCAGTTAATGCTGATAAAACTGTTATAATACCCTTTACCAAAAAGAGACGGTTGGACAAATTAGTCCCACCAAAACTTAATGGTAAAGCAGTACCATTTTCCACGGAAGTTAAGTACTTGGGCGTAACAATCGACCAGAAACTAACGTGGAACTCTCACCTAAGTAACATATGCCAGAACAGAAATTTTCGCCTTACTTCGGTGTGCGGAAATCAATCTGCATAAACACTACGTCAACCATATAATTTACATAAACTCTGATAGTCAAGCAGCACTGCTAGCACTGAGATCGAACTTAGTGAACTCGAAGCTAGTTGGAGACTGCGTGAACTGTTTAAACGCCCTGGGATGTAACAGCAGGGTCGTTTTAAGATGGGTTCCGGGTCACGAGGGTATTATAGGCAATGAATTTGCCGACAAACTTGCACGGGAGGGCTCAAAGTGCACACAATTTAGGCCTGAGCCATTTTGTGGAATCTCAAGAAGCCTAGACCGATATACCCTTGAAAATCTTTATCACAATAAATCACTTAAGATCTGGTCTGACACACCAGGCTTAAAACATTCTAAAACCTTAATCCGGGCTTTTGATCGTACATTCGCATCAGAAGCCCTAAGATTAAGTAAAAATAAAGTGAACATTCTGGCAAGAGCCCTAACTGGACACTGTTGTCTTAAAAAGCACATGACCATCCTGGGACTAAGCAACTCAAGGATGTGTCGGTTCTGTTCCATAATGGAAGAAACGCCTCTACACATCCTAACTGACTGCGGACCCTTAATGCGCAAACGTAACACTCATCTGGGAAACTATCTACTGCTCACTCAACAACAACTCCTTCTGTTCATTGAAGACACAGGGCTTAGCCGTGAACTATAGCAATAGTAGCGATCACAATAGATCTTCTTGGTCGCAGTGATACTGGTCTCTTTCTCTAGACCTGCATAGCTGCCCGCACATAATAAAATAATAAAATCCATGAGCAAGCTACTTCACTCCTTGTCGGTATGGATCTGTCCATCTTATGGCTGCGTGTAGACAGCGACCACCGTCCCCGCGTCTACGGATGCCTCTATAGGTCCCATAGCGGTAATGCCGAAACAGACCGCCTCATCGACCACGTCCAGATGGCTACAGACTCCGTGCTACAACAGATTCCATCCGCAGAGATCGTGATACTTGGAGATTTTAACGCCCACCAAGCTGAATGGATAGAGCCGTGGTAGCTCAGATGGTTAACGCTCGCTGTAAATATAACAGAACAGGCCTCCCCTCATTTCTAAGAGGGTTTTAGGGCGAGGAAGTATCCGCCGCGCTGCCCCAATGCGTGTTGGCGAACTTCACATGTCTTCGAAATATTTTTTTTCTTATTCCTCAGACATGCAAGTTTCCTCACGATGTTTTCCTTCACCGCCGAGCACGTGGTAAATCAGCACTTGAAATTGCAATTAATAATTTCATTGGTGCCGGCGGGGATCGAACCCGGTTTGCTCGCGTACTGTGAAATTTAAAGCGAGCGCTAACCATCTGAGCTACCACGGCTCCACGGGGAGTGCTCTGAGGAATTGTTTGGACTAATTCTAGCCGCACAATTTCACCATTGCACATCGCGACATAACTCACGATATCATCTATACCATGTGCGTTGACTGGCGGTCCTCCACCCTGCGATTTAAAAGAAGTTATCTTCCTCGCACAACTTCCTTATGGAATCGATTACCACCAGAAATTTTTCCGGACCGATACGATTTAGGGATCTTCAAGAAAAGAGCCTACTCCTTTTCAAAAGGCCGAAAACGCATCCGCAATTCCCCTGGTGTTACAGTTGCTCATGGGCGGCGGTAATCACTTACCATCAGGTGAACTGTATACTCGTTTGCCCCCTCTCCTATAAAAAAATGTTATAATGATCCTTATGACACACTAAACTAGAATTACAATTAGAAACACGATGCTTGTTACTCAAACACTTTAAGCACACATTGTTAGCCTTTACTATTTTATAGGGCTCGCTCGGTGAGCGCCTGCGAAAATTTGCACAATCATATATATTACCATGTTGATGAGTTTTACATAAGAAACAGGCTTTGTGCGAAAATGAAGGTGTTCACATTTCATAGGCTTCAACGGTGCATCAATTCTAAGGTCGGATTTTTTTTTGCTTCTTGTTTTACATTAGATCAGCGTTGCATTATTTTGATTTGGTTTCGCACAAAAGATGCTAAGGCGTCGAACGATGGTATGTCGGAGCCACGATTTTCTATTTCGACCGAATGTACGGTGTCCAGGTCTAGCCTTATTAACGCAATGTGTAAAACTACTAAGTCCAAAGATCATTATGATTTTTGAGAACGGCTACCGACGTTGCGAATCTATCTAAAAATTGTTCAAGATAATGAATATTTACGGACGACATAAGATAGAATACTTGGTCTAAATAAAGAAGCCAACATTCGTTTATCTTCGTTTTTATTTTTCAGCGATTCTAAAATTAACATATAGTTTTCCGCGGTCGGTGTGAGACCGGCACACGCAGAGTGCGCCTTGCCACTTAGTTTACCAATTATATAATATAATTTTTCAGCATCCGATAAAGAGGGATTATTATGTATAGTATACTGAAAACTAAAAATAAATAACGGCTAACTTTTAATATCACCTTTAAATATTGATATATCGATAGGTGGCAATCTCAGGAGTGTACTTTAACTGCTGGCTTTACGTCACTCTGAGCTACAGGTTGGAGCCACCTAGCAGCTCGCTTCAAGTGGCATAATAAATCTTCAAACGACGAAAGCGATTGGTAATTCACCACATAATCGGTATCAATTTGCAGTTTAAGATTATTAATTGTGTCCAACAAATCTTGAAAATCTGACCGCAACAAATCTATAGTTTCTATTTCACACAAAAATGTTTCCTGAACGGTTTCTAAGCGAATATTTTTTGCACGATCACAAATATTCTGAATACGAGAAAACAACATGTCGCATTTAATTTGCATTTACTGCCATTTTGCAGTACGATAATTAATATCAAACCATAGGAGCAAATCACGTAGCAGTGGAGAACAAAAAATTAAACGGCGTATTTATTATGTACGAGTAGCTATTACCCTGCGCTGATTCTATTCCAAACAACAGTTAATCAAGTAATGTTTAGCAAGTGACACGTTACTATCCTACGAAATAATATTAAATAATACGAAATAATTCGAAATAACATAAAAGAGAAGGCTGTTATTTGTAGCATGCACTAATAAAATCAGATCAAGTATTCATGCGCGAATACACTAGTATATAAATTCATATTACATATTAATTGTGGTGCAATTTAAGTAAATTCACATGTACTATGAAGACGAACTAAATAAAATGGGCGTCTGTGTACCTATAATAATGCGAGTGCTGCTACTAAAATGGAAAAATAAAAACCAATGCGCACAGTACCCCCAGTGGTGCGAAGCGAAACTAAAATACAATTGGGAACTTAGGCGCGACTAAACCAATGTATATTCAAAAATTTCAGTTCGGCAATTCGACTTGATTGGTCCATAAGTTGCTAGTTCAAATCCGGATCGACTGGACCAAAAATATGAGTGTGCGAAAATTACGAAAGGTATTAGCGGGGCGAACGATCAAGTGGACTGTATTAACGTGGTTCAAAAGGAAGCAAAACAAATTGGCGGACTTGGCACGTGACGGACTTTGGACAGTGTACTTGCTATGAAATTAATTTGATGCGTTGGCTAACACGACGCGAGAACTGCTGTGAATAAATGCACAACAAATAAAAGAGCTCATAAATAAGGATGGGCACTTACCTGGGGGAAGCGGCGAGTGGCCTCTCTGGCCGTAGCGGCGCGCATTTTCTTATAGTTTTCGCCAACTCCCCTTTTACATTGGCGGAGCGCGTCTCTCGTTGGAGGACCAAAGATGCATTAGACAGGCCCGTGCAGGGAAGAAACGGAAGAGAGGAGTGTTATGCCGAACAACTCAACTAACAAATACATCAACATACGAAGTACAAGGGTGTGCGTTGGCACAGCCAATATTATTTAACTTATAATTTTATGTAAGACATTTCCGTCCATAATATTCGTATATCCTTAACACTTTCGTTCTAACAACGTCACAGAACGTCCAATTTGATGTCTTCGCGATGACGTACATAGTCTAATCACGTCCTAAGAAAATTTTAATTTCCAAGCACAACGGCTAGTAACGTCAAATCTCTGTATAATCTTTAGGTAGCTACGTCATTGCGCCGCATCGTGTGAAATTTTCAAAGTTCTAGCGCTACAATATAATTAGTTTTTTTCTTACTTGAACATAAGTCACACACACATTGATAGGTACCTACACACACATGAACAACGTCGACAAACGTCGTTTTTGGTTAGAGTCGCCATACTGCCAGTCTGCTTGCGCGCCGGTACAGTGACCCACGTTTTACGCTACAAAACCCTCGCAGGCCGTGCATTTGAGAAAGTAATCGTAAGTTATTTTTTCGTTTTCTATAGTTTTGTAGGATATGGTGATAGTTGTTATGAGTGCATTATAGTATATATGCTGCAATTTTTGAATTTTATAGATGGGAAATAGAAAAAAGAGGCCAGAAGAAGCCATCTAAGAAAAAAGTAATTGAAGTAGGTAGCAAAGAAAAATGTGAAGCTGGACCAAGTGGGATATCAAGGAAAACTCATTCCGTAAGTTATATTTTTAGATTTTTTTCTGAAAAAAATCTCAAATGTACGCATATGTTCTAATTTTGTGTCCTGAATAAGATGATAGCTATGTTTTTTGTTGTAGGTGGAAAAATCACGCCAAATTAGTAATAATGCTTCCATGAAGTTGTTTCAATATGATTCTTCATCAAGGCCATCTACACCAGACCCATTTAGTGATGATGGAGAGTATGGTTCCGATAACGACTATGATCCAGGATATGATGATAATACAGACAGCACTAGCACTGTTAGTGATCACACAAAGCAACATGAAAAGAAACAACTAAAGAAACGTTCCAAGGACAACGCAACGAGGTCACATGGTAAACGCAACTCTGAAAGCAGTGTAAGTAGCAGCTCTGATTCTGACGATCGAACCGAAGGCTTTAGCGAGTGCACGGATGTATGTGATAGCGATGACAACGAGGATGATACAAATTCGATATCGGCAGAATCTAGTGATGAAAGTATTTTTGACAGTAGAAGGAGAAAAAAGAAGGGGCAGAGTTCCTCTTTAGGATGAAGCTACAAAAAACCTAAGATCGCCAGTGCAGATCAGAGTACCGACACTATGTCGTTAGATTCTGAGGCATTGCTAAATAATATAGAAAATCTTGAAAGCTCTTCAGTGCAACTCGATCCTGCAGTATTAGAAAATATCTCAATTTATTCACATATCGAAGGAAGTCACTCCCATACTAATCCACAAATTCAAGGTGCTGAAGACGACCATGCTGCTGCAGCTGATGAGGTTAATCCCGCGCCTGCCAACCTACGTGCACTGGAACTAGACGCAGCTGCGCAGCGCCACTCTCCTGGTTCTCCTGCACCGGATCCAGCAGCTGCTGAGGGAAATCCCGCGCATGACAACCTACCTGCCTTGGACCTGGATGTAGCTGCGCAGCACCGCTCTCCTAGCTCTCCTGCACTGGATCGGGAGGCTGTTGAGGGAAATCCCGCGCCTGTCAACGTATCTGCCCTGTACCTGGATGCAGCTGCACAGCGCCGCTATCCTGGCTCTCCTGCACCGAATTCAGCAGCTGCTGAGAGAAATCCCGCGCCTGACAACCTACCTGCGCTGTACCTAGACGCAGCTGCGCAGCGCCACTCTCCTGGTTCTCCTGCACCGGATCCAGCAGCTGCTGAGGGAAATCCCGCGCATGACAACCTACCTGCATTGGACCTAGATGCAGCTGCGCAGCAGCGCTCTCCTAGCTCTCCTGCACTGAATCGGGAGGCTGTTGAGGGAAATCCCGCGCCTGTCAAATTATCTGCCCTGTACCTGGACGCAGTTGAGCAGCGCCGCACTCCTGGCTCTCCTGTATCGGATCCAACGGCTGCTGGGGAAAATCCCACGCCTTCCAACCTACCTGCTCTGGACCTGGACGCAGCTACGCAGTGCCGCTCTCCTAGCTCGTCTGCATCAGATCGGGAGGCTGCTGAGGAAAATCCCGCGCCAGCCAACCTTCCTGCCCTGGACTGGGACGCAACTACACAGTGCCGCTCACCTAGCTCTTCTGCACCACCAGAACTAAACGCTACTGTAAGATATCCAACTCCGGCCAGCACACTTGCACTGGAGGTAGTTGCAGAGCGTGGCTTGTCCGGCTCTCCTGTGCCGGAACGAGATGCTGCCGAAACGAATTCTGCGCCTACCAGTCCATCTGCTTTGGATCGGGAAGCATTTGTACAACGCAACCCTTCTATCTGTCATGTGCTGGACCCAGAGGCCGCCGAAAGAAACTCCGTGCCTGACACACTCCCCGAGATAAGTCCAGCGACCAATTGCAGACCAAGCACTCCTCCACTGATAAATTATGATTGGGAACACACGAACACAGACATAACTTCGTTCGAGTTTGATGAAAGTTCAGCAGGTGTCCAGTTTGAAGTCAACCCAGCTATGACAGTTATGGAAATATTTGATAAAATTCTTAATCCTAATATTGTAGACTATATTGTAACATGTACTAATACGTACGGGCGAGCACTATGCGAGAAAACAAGACCTACTACTCGAAACTCACGTAGCTATAACTTTAGGGACACAAACCGGGAAGAAATCTTGAAATTTTTTGGATTATGTTTGCTTATGGGTCAAATCAAAATTCATCAAAAACGCAAAAATTTTACGTATTCCGACCCACTGTATTATCACCCAATTTTTCACTATGTGATGTCCGCTCGAAGATTTGAGCAAATCTTGAGATGTATTTATGTATCAGATTTAGATTCAAAAGGAAAAGATAAAATTGAAAAATTTATTAATGCTATTACCAAGAGCTTCATGGAGTGCTATAAGCCATACAAACAGTTAAGTTTGGATGAATCTTTGCTTTTATTTAGAGGCCGCCTTGCCTTCAGACAATATATAAAGAGCAAAAAAAGTACGTTACGGAATCAAATTCTTCGTGTTGACAACTTCTGATGGCTATGTTTTAAATATAATGATGTATTCCGGAAAAGACACAACTGCTCGAACTGGCAAAAAATCTGAAAAGATCGTCCTTCGTCTCATGAGGCCATATTTGCTGAAGGGACATCAATTATACATGGATAATTATTACAATTCCGTAACACGTTCGCAAAAGCTAGTTGACTTAAAAACTCACACGACAGGTACCTTACGTTAAAACAGAAAAGATAATCCCAAAGACATCATTAAGAAAAAACTCAAGAAGAATCAACATGTGTGGGTACGAAAAAATAAGGTCTATGTTTCAAAATGGGTTGACAAGCGCCCAGTTCTTATGGTAACAACTTCAGTTCATCCTCTATTATAGAAATACAAAACAGATTTCAACAAAGAAAAATTAAACCCGCAGAAGTGGCAGAATACAATCAACACATGTCCGGAGTTGATAGAGCAGATCAAATGATCTCATATTACTCCTCACCAAGGAAATCAATCCGGTGCTATAAAAAAAGTGATGTTCCACTTGTTGGATGTCGCAGTATGGAACTCATTTTTTATTTTCAAAAAATACTGCCAAGCCAATTGTGATTTCTTGCTTTTCCGAGAGGAATTGATTCGAAGACTGTTGGACTTACCAGCAGATTTAACAGCAGAGCAAGTGATTTTAGCTCGCAGCAAATATGACAACAGAATCAGAGCTAATTTATTGCCACTTCCAGTCAGTACCATTGACGACGACGTCGGAAGCTCAAGAGTCCATGGTCACTGGCCTGAGAAAATACCCGTGCAAGAGGGTTCAAACAAAACATCAAAGTACTTGAAATGCAAGATGTGCACGAAAAAAAAGGTGAGAAGGGAGACTTGCCTGAGATGTAAAGGTTGCCCTGAAAAGCCAGCACTGTGTGCTCTTTGCTTCGAAGAATGGCACAAAAAAGTATAATGCTTTTTTACCTATTTTGTTCCTTTTTATGAGAGTGATATCAAATAAGTATAACTGTATCATGCATATGAGTATTTAGAAGTTTTATAATTTATTGCTACGATTGTTATACTAAATCTGCTAAACTGTGTAAGACTGAATATTATTGTGCTATACTGGTAATCTATTGATAAGATAGAAGCAGGCAACTGTTAATTTTGTGAAATAATTTGTTACTTTTATAGAAAATACCTGACTTACCAGAGTATTATTTGATTTTGTGATAGTAGCGTAAAATGTTAAAAGGTTACTCATTCATATGATAGGTAGGTAAAAGTAAGTGAGTATTTATAATTTTTATAATTTTTTGCTACCAATGTTATACCAAAACTGTGTAAGACTGATTGTTATTGTGCTATAGTGGTAGTTTATTGATAAGATAGTAGTGAGAAACTGTTTATTTTGAGAAATAATTCGTTACTTCTATGGGATAAACCAAACTTACCATAGTATTATTTGATCGATATGTGATAATAGCGTAAAATTTGAAAAAGTTACTCACACATAGGATAGGAAGTAAAAGTAAATTTTATTAAACTAAAACTTGGAAGAAATTTATGGACAATTGCACCTAAATTATTTTCAATTAAGTCGAGAAGAGGGTAGATATTGACACAAAATGTGATATGTAGGTAATTTTTGAAAAATAGTTGATTTTCTAAAAATATATAACAAAAAACTGATGATTATTGAGTATTATTCCATATCAAATCCTGTTTATTATTTTATTTTTATAAATCAAAGTCAACGTCAGGAAACCATGAGCGACAGATAATTTGCTCGTATAGTCGATTTATGATCAGACCGTCAAGTAACGTTGGAGTAATTAAACGTTGTTTCCCAAAACTTTAAATTCTACTAGATATTTGTGGAACAACAGTTATGAACGTCAACGTGCATTGACGCTGCTTTCTTATCATGGTATCAATATTTGACAACTAGTAACAGAACGGCTGTAAACGTTGACGTTGTTTAACGTTGTTCAATATAGTGTAGAAATCTTGTCTAGAGATTAAAGCAGAACGTGTCCCAACGTTGACGTTGTTAAACGTTGTTCAATATAGTGTAGAAATCTTGTCTAGAGATTATAGTAGAACGTGTCCCAACGTTAACGTTGTTAAACGTTGTTCAATATAGTGTAGAAATCTTGACTAGAGATTAAAGCAGAACGTGTCCCAACGTTGACGTTATTAAACGTTGTTGAATATAGTGTAGGGATCTTGTCTAGAGATGAAAGCAGAACGTGTACCGACATTGACGTTTAACGACGTTCTTGTAATCTGTAAGGTCCAAAATACCCACAAATTGGAAAAGAACGGCTGGTAACGTAGACGTACCTAAACGTTGTTGCCCCTTTGATGGATAATAATTTTAGCAATATACCGGTGCGTCCTTGAAAGTCAACGCTTACTGACGTTGCCGACAAGTCATATGCAATATTTTGTTTGTGATACGGCGATACGAGTATGGACGTCCTCAAACTTTGTATGGAGTAATCATGCGCCACGGCCTATAAGTTGACTATTATGGTATGCGTGCATGAACGTGTTAAGCAATTTCGTCACCTCTATATGATCGTAGCTAACAAGTGGTAATTTATTCAAATCCATATAACAGATATAGCGAGTACGTTAGTTGTGGCCGATGCAAGCAATACCGAATATAAATAAACTTTGTGTGGCAGAACAACAGAAGTAATGAAGAATAATGGAAGATAGATCGACCAACAGATGAGTGGGTTATGCTACTGAGGAAAAGATATAGAAATCATTTCATAAGACAGAAGGGAAAAGCAAGTGGCAGAGCCCATTGAAAAATTTTAAACTGCTGATATAAAAGTCCCTTTTTAATAAAAATATTAATTAATTTGCAACCTTCCTCTAACTAAATACAATGATAACAGGTAAGACATACCTGGAAGAGTACCTCCCACCCTACTTCAATTGCGTGCACTAATACCGTCACCACTAGACCCAGCACCACTACTCCCAACACCACTACTCCCGGCACTACTACTTCCAACACCACTATTCCAGGTAAGACACACCATCGACGATAATACGACACGTGTTACGCCTCTACACGAGGCATCCTCAGGTGCCACCTGGGGATGCCTCGTTCGAAGGAAGAGTTTTACAAGCAAGTAGATGGTGTTGCGATGGGCTCACCTGTATCTCCCAGTGTCGCCAATATATTCATGGAAGACTTTGAGGAGAAAGCCTTCCTTACTGCACCTATTACCCAAGGTTCTACAAGCGGTACGTAGATGACACTTTCACAATTTTACCATCAGACAAAGTAACTGCATATTTAGAACATCTTAATTCCATAAACTCTATAATTCAATTTACTATGGAGTTAGAGGCAACTAATTCCTTAGCTTTCCTAAATATGTTAGTCATACGAAATCCTATACTGTGTATAAAAAAACACCCATACAAACCGATATTTAAACAGTGAATCTCACCACCATCCTTCACAGTTAGCTACCGTGAGCAAATTTTTGTTACAGAGAGCACGGGGGATCTGTGACAGCAAACACCTGGCCGCCGAGCTTCGTCACGTCAAGCAGGTTCTGCACGACAACAAGCTTCAGGTCCCGCGCTTACGTGACAGTGACCGAGTGAAGCCGGCCACAGTCGAACGTGTGCCTGCTGTACTAACATATGTCAGAGGTGTCGCAGACAAGATTGACTACATCTTGAAGCGAGCTTCTATTGGAACATTCTACAAGAAGCCGAAGAAGATTAGTGAGTTCTTACCATCTGTCAAGTGTCATATTCCTTTACAGGATGCAGGAGTGTACGAGCTTGATTGTGAATGTTGTCTCTCATACATAGCGCAAACAAAAAGTTCTATTAAAGTCCGCGTAAAAGAACATGTAGCTGATGAGAAGCATCAACGTTCCGGTAAGTCTGCAGTTTGTGATCATATCCTAGGTGGCCCCAACCATTACATCAGATTTAATAGACTACAAATCCTCGCGAAAGAACATTGATTCCTACCAAGGACGATACGTGAGACTATTGAAATTAAAAAACATCCTAATTTCAATAGAGAAGGAGGCTGAGTACTACCACCTGCTTGAAACCCTGAATTAATAAAATTAAAACTAAACCTAAGCATACCACTGCAAGACTTCAAGACCGAGTAAGTTCATTCTGCATAGATCGGACCATAAACAATATTTAATAAACTGAAGGTCGTAGACAGAGAAACCTATAGACTAATGATTAGCGTGGCCTCGAGTGAGATAGGACTATAACGTAGTTTTTGGTTATACAATAATCTTTATGACTTTTAAACATATTTAGATAAAAAAATTTATTGTTCTAAGAACTGAACTGAACAAGATTCACCAACCTTAAGCTCATAAAACACTTTTTTCTCATTTAAACCAACTTGTAAACTTCTTAGATTGCTACGAACTGTCAAAGTAGTTTAGCAAAGTGTAGTTTGTTAAAAAAAACCGGCACGGAGAAAGAGACAAACAATCACACCGCTTTGTCTCACTTCTATGCAAGACGTATGCATAAATCCATCTTTTTCGTGTGCGGATTTTTTTTATAGGATAGGGTGACAAACGAGCACACAGTCCACCTGATGGTAAGTGGTTGCTGTGGCCCATATACATCTACATCTATCCTCGATTACGAATCAAAATGCAGATGCGTTGTCACCCGTGAGGACTAAGATGGAATGCCTCGTTTCCAGCAAAAAGGGTCTCCGGTTCTCTACACTCACCATACGAAATACAGCAGCATTAGGCTAGTATTTCACGCTGGTATTCTGTGAGAGCGTGGTCCTTCCCCGGTCGAGCCGACCCATTCGTGCTACAACTATACTACTAATATAACTGCAGCATGGCTCTACCACGTATAATGCGAAAGAAGGCGTCAATTTGTCTATAGGTTTCTCTGTCTACACCGAAGGTACTCCGGGTTAACATTTATATCGGGAGGTCAGTCACCTCAGTCACCCGTTATCATAGATTACTGCGTATATACTAGAGACCCGTGACCATGGGTGCAGGAAAGTACCCGAAACGTCGGGAATTAAAAATCATTTAAAATTAAACTTTTAACTTCTAAATTGATAAAATCCGTAAAAGTAGTATTAATCTATGTGTAGTGTTCGCGTAAATATAAGAAATCATAATCCAGGATACAATTCAATAATTGATTACAATGGGGAAAACCTAAAAAAGGTATTGTGTATGATCATATGTCAAAATGTGGAAATCCACAAATAATTTAAACCCGCGGCTTGGTCTTACAGTGGTGCACTATCGAAAAAAAGATTGTTGAAAATTTTAGGGCAATATTTGACACCCCTTTAGGACCCAACAAACAAATTTCAAAACATACACGGAGGTGCCTCTTGACTCAAGCCCAGTTCGCTTCACAGTTAAACAGGTGGATGCAATGATTGTGAACATGAAAATAAGGAGGTCCCCCGGGTATGATGATCTCAGCATTGATCATTTACATTAAGCTGGTGAACATCTTCCTAAGGTGTTGGGTTAAAGATAATATAATATGTGAAGGATTTGTCGACTATTGACTATTTATGAATTTGACAAAGAGCTGTCAGGATTTAACTATTTTTGAAAAACTAGCTAAAGTTATAAAAATAGGGTTGCTTCTTGGTACACCGAAGGCTAAATAATTTTTGAGTCCACTTAAGAATATAAAAAAATAAAATTTTTATTTTCAATACCCATTTTTAAATTTCATACCGTATACTATGTTCTGGAAAGTTTAAAAAGATATTATAAAAAAATTACTTATTTATTATATAAGAACAATCAACAAAATTAAACAATTTTTAACTCAGTAAATAGTTATACGACAGAACACAATAACTCT